CAATCTAAACTATGCTAGCTTATGATACCCGAAGTCTCGGTTTCATCCTTTTGTCGCTCGTTTTTATGGTCATCGAATAAATAATCATAATTCGACGTCGATGAATTTGAGTACTCGATACAATATTTTTACAAATTTTATAGCACTTGGCTTCGATGATGTGACAAGAAATTATATTCTACTAGCGACTTACTATAAATTATAAATGTAAATACCTTTTACAAGCTGAAATACCTATCATTATTCGAAAATAGCAATGATAATTTAACAAAAGGATATTTGAAGTTTTTTATTTTAATTACATGTATAGGTAATTTAAATAAAACGCTACGACCACAACGCTAGCGCAGATTGCCCAGCCTGTCCCGACACGGCCTCGAAAACGCGGAGCACGTTTTCTTCAACTGCCCTCGATTTGAGGAGGGAAGCGAGAAGCTTCATCGCCAGCTCCAAGAAGTTGCCAGGCCAGAAAATATCGTCCAGCTCATGCTAGCGGACAAAAAAAAAACTGTCTCGCGGTAGCCACCTTCGCCCGCTCAGTCATAATAAGTCTGAGAGCCGAAGAAGATGACCGGACGATGCGGCATGAACAAAACAGCACACCTCTTCACATACAATTATATCTGAGATATGGATTTAATATATCCCACAGAACCTTTCGTCGCTTATGGATAAATACAAATCCATCTGGCGTTGAGAAAACGAATTTGTATGTTTTGTTTTGAAAATGTAATCTTATACGTATCGTAAACAACCGAATTCGTACGAGTTTGTCAATTGTTACATTTTTTTCTTTACATCATTAACGATTGCTTACGGAAAAAAAGTTCAGAATAATTTTGTTCAGTGAAAAACAATAACAAGAATGTTCACTCCTTATTATAATGTTTCTCGAGCTTCTGCGAGACGCTGTAACGAACGTAAATAAACACACACGCATCTCGAGACACAAACGAACCTTGAAAAGGCTTCCGTTACATTATTATATTATTGTTCTATTATACGCAGTTGGCGTTTGTGCCGCGCCACTCGATATCTACGGTATTTACGTTATTATTGCACAGTCGTCGTCGTTGTCGTCGCGATTATAAAGCTTTGAAGCGCGAATGTGTATTAATTAATGCAATACCATACACACCTTGTATACGAAGGGGGTAGGAAGTCTTTGAGATCGAGAGAGAGAGTCTGTCTGGCCGCCGCGCACAAATCGATCTTGCTCGCAGCTCGCCTATACGTATAGCAATAAATTGAAATTTACAAAAATGATTGCTCCGTTTCTGCGCCGCAATTAAGCGCGCGGCGTCGCGTACGCTCGCGCTTCGAATTATATTAATCCTTTACGGTTACATTCGGTGGGGCACTTTGCGAGCTTTATATGCACACGAAGACGGAGGGAATTTCCCTTTAACCCTCGCCGTGCGGATCTTCGTATATATATATAACCTTATGCAATTCGTAGACGCGCGCACAAAAGCAGCGACAAAGTCTATGAACTCGGTTAAAGTTTAATTTTCATTGCGACGACGACTCCTTCTACGATGGAAGTATAGCGTTGGCGGTCTGTGTGTATAGCTCTTTCTATTCCCATTCTCTCTCTTACTCGCAGTTACGCTAGGAAAATATATAAATCAAACGCTCACTTTTAGCACTTTCTTTCTTTCTCTCTCTCTCTCTCTCTATTCTCGATCGAAAACTTCGAACCCTTTCGACGATCCGCGCGAGAAAAGCCACGAACAATTAGGAGGACCTTTGGACTAATACACACACACTCAGACACTCAGACACAGTGCGCGGAAATGGAAAAGGCTTGTTTTGTCGCGCGCGAGTGTGCCATATTGAAAAGAGAGAGAGAGAGAGAGAGAGCGTGACGACAGACGAATGACGATTGTCGAACTTGCGCGATTGTTTTAAGCTAAAAAAAAGGAGAAAAAAAATCTGGTCGCTGGTGTGGGTGGATCTCACCCTCTGCGATCCTATATACATACACATTCTTATTTTATATAAATATACAGTAATAGAAAAGCCGCGCGCGGGTAAGGTCGCAAAATCGCTTCGGGGCTTTTCAACGGAATTCCCACGTCTATACTATAGGTGCATTATTACCCGCGTGTGCATATAGGTGTTCTCGGATGACTCTTTCTATCCTGTGGTGTATGTGTGTGTATATATGTGCCCTGCGAAAAGTCCCCGCGAACAGAGAGAGAGAGAAAGTCGAAACTCTCTCACTTTGCGTGGCATTTAAAGAAGGTGCCGCGCGAGCTGCGCGAGAAATATATATAAAACGGGGTGTGTTTTTCTCGGACGTCGTCGTCGTCGTTCGTTTTCACACCGACCAGAGAGGCATTTAAAAGAAAGGTTGCCTTCTCTCACCCTGATGGGTTATAACCTCAAATTTTCCTCTCTCTCTTTCTCTCTCTCACTGACATCCGAAGCCCGCTGACTTGTCGCGACGCACAGTGGCTGGGCTGGCACTGCCTATTTTACTTTCGTCAAAAAATTCGCGAGGCAACAGCAGCAGCAGCAGCAGAGAGAACAACCCCTTTCATTATATTTATAACGCGCGCAGCACTGGTGCACGGTGCACGCACGGCGGTGACCACCCCTTTCTTCGCGCTGATATATTCTTCAAAATGTTATATGGTAGTACAGTGGTATACAAGCGCGCGATGTTTCTCGCATTGTATGTAATCAAAAAAGCAGCAGCTACAGAGGCCCTATTTTAGAAGGCGATTTTTTTCTTCTCTCGCTGCACTGTACTTTTCTTTTATTATATGTATGTGTACAAGGTGCTATATTATATTTATATATACGTGTGTGTGTTGTATACGAAAAGTGTACAACGAGCGGACGGTTGGTGGATAATCTGCTGCTGCTCTATGCTAGTCGGGGACTTTTTCAGGTGTTCGCAGTTTAGTTGGTGCCCATTATTTATTGGCAGCACGTGGGATGAAGAAAAACGAAGCCCTATACGCACAGCGAGAAAACAAGCACATCAAGTGCTCCCCCGTAATACATAATGTACGTATAAGTATTATACATTGTATGCAACTGTGTGTGGACCTATTATGAGGGAGAATTCAACCGAGTGTTGTAATATCAATTAACGAATCGCACTGCGTTGCAAAGTTTATGCAACATAATTGTAAAATCAAAGTGCGCTGCGATTCAGAAAATCATTTTATCGATTAACTTCCACTTTTAGGTATATAACCGCATCGAAGCCCCGCGCGTACACACTCTAAACAATCAAATCAATCCTTTATTTACCCCTTTCTCTATACGTATCCCCTTCTTTTCCTTTCCTTTTTTGTCGTCGTCGTCGTCGGACGCCGAAAGAGACGAAAAATAACCATTTGCGCGCGATCAACCCTTTTCGCCTAGGATATACACGCTGCGCGTCATTTCACGCGCGTCCACCCTTCTGCAAACTTACTTACTTATACTTCGGTTCGGTTCCTCGGTTTTTGCTATACACCACGAGCCCAGCGTGTGCGCGACCGGAAGTTTCCTTATAAGAGAGAGAGAGAGAGAGAGAGAGAGAGAGAAGAACCTTAACGTTGGTTTGATGTAATATTGAATTAGAGGTGAAGCAGCAGTTGAAGAGGCAACTTTTTTTTTTGTCATCGTCGTCGTAGGCCAACTTTTTGTCCATATTATACACATATAACGTAGAGAGGAAGGATTGATGTTTCGCGAACGTATATATATTGCACGCGAGCAAAAGGGCATAGACACACGGTACACACACATGCATATATAGCAGCCGTTGATTTATTAACTATTTAAGCCCACGAATTTTCAAGTGCGCCGTGCGCGCGGCGCTCGTGAAGAATGAGTGGCTAATTTATGATTTTCGTAGAGAGAGACAGAGAGAGCTCATGCCGAGTGCTGCGTGCAAGGTGAGCGTATACGCAGGCGATGACTTTTAGCCATCATTTATCTTTTCAACCTCCTCGTCGTCGTTTGTATGTTACGTTCGATGCGCGAATTTTACGCTACGAAAGGTTTTTCGGCGTGCGTATAGCGAGCGATTCGATTCGTAAATGTATGTAGGGGGTGTATGTGACTGGTGGTTTGAAAAATTTGATTAAACCGTGAGTGAGTCTCGCAAGTGCAGCGTCGTTCGATTCGTATGAATTAATTTCGACGATTATGATCCTTTTACGAAATGAAATGAAATGTTTAAATCAAGCCTTTCGTTGATATTGTTTTTCATTCTCGATTCCCAATATATTTATTGTATCCGTTACATCTCTTATGTATACGTGGTGTGTATTTTCATACTTACCAATAATGACACAACATTACGTCTACTAATTATTTTGTGATAAAAAAACCCCATGAAATTCGATTAAAAAGATATGCAATTATGTGGCAGAAAATTCTTAATTCATCATTTAAGAAAATCGAAATCCAATTAAAAAATCGTCGAATGCATCGTTGCACTAATCACACACATCGTATTATCTTTCGTAATTCATCTCATTAAGAAAAGGTTTAATCGTGATATGTACAGAGATTTTATTCTTAAAAATGTGATATGATTGAAAAATAATTAATTAAGCTCAATTAATTAAATGAATTAAATAAAATAATTAATTAATTAAAACCTGATCACGCGTTCAGTCGTAATCATTGATACAAACTTGAAATTTAATGCGCAACGCTAGTGATTATCCGCTGTATTTCCTCGTCCTTCATGTAAATGGGATATTCTTTTTGGAGAATCATTTGCTTTTTATTGATTATATTTTCATTAAACATTTAAAATTAGCTGCGATCCGTCTCATCAAAATTTCTATGTAAGTTAGATAACGTGAGCGACCGAATTGAAATCATTTTAGATAATTTTTCCTAGCGAGAGTATTAATAATTTTTTGGGATCTATCTCGCGAATGAATTAAAATTTCTTTGACTTGAAGAATTCAGTTGCCTGTAAATATCAAGAGTTATAGAAGATAAGATGATGGCGTAATGAAAAAAAAACATTGATCGAAAAATTCGGGTTTGAACCAGTTTATATATTTTATTGATTTAAACATAATGGCTAGGTTCTTTCTTTTTTTTTATAATCATCAATTAAACCTAAAAACCTGTACAATGTACAATTTACAATTTACAATGATGCTTCTGCTTCTGCTTCTGCTGCTGTTGTTACTCTGAGTTCGCGTATTATGGATTCATACAAAATACAAAATAGAAAATCACAGACGAAAGGAACTCAGTATGCTACAATCCTTAATTCTCATAATCTCTACAAGTTTATAATTGTATCTTATTATTACAACGACGCAGCGAATCTACTACATTATCAGTAAAAGAGCAGTGGGCTCTATCGGTACAATGACAATTTCTTTCTTCTTCTTTGTTCCCTACTTAGCAGGCTAAACAATTACAATTTATTCATCATAATTAAAACAAGGACTTATTACGTAATAATAATAATAATTTTTTTTTGTACAATGAGATTCATTCTCAACACGCAAGACACACACCCACCCACGCACACATAATTTTTTTTTTATACAACTATTTGGAACGACGCTCTAGATCAGTCTATATTCCCTCCTCACCCTCCTCCTGCTGCACTCAATAGATCGTCTGCAGCGAGCGCCTCAGGTGATCGGCATTGGTCTCGTAGTGGCTGACGACGCTGCTGCCTTGGCTGCCGTTGGGCGTCGTCGTGGTGCCGGGCGGCGAGGCAGACACCGAGGGCGACGACTCGGGCGTCAGCGCGGCGATGCTGCCGTTGCCCGCGCTACCGCCGCCGCTAACGACGCTGCTCGCCGCTCCGGGGCTCGCGGCGATGCCGGGACTGGCGAAGGCCGGGTGTATGGGGCGCGGATGGGCCGGGAAGATCGAGCTCAGCGGATGATGATTGAGATGATGCGACGGCGAGACGGAGGACAGCTGCGTCGTCGTCGGCAGCTGATGATTCAGATGATGATTGAGGCCCGTGGCTGCTGCCGCCGCCGCGGCTGCTTGCGTCACCTGTGGTGGCACATTGGTCGGCCCGCCGGCGGCCGTGGGATAGAGGCTCGAGTAGACGCTGTTGAACATCGCGGCGGCGGCGTTGTTGTTGCTGGCGTCCGCGGCCAGGGCGGCCGCGGCCTGCTGCTGGGCCAGCTTGCTCAGATGGCTCATGCGCTCGAGCTGGGGATTGAAGTAGTTCGCGGCCGCGAACGGAGTGTAGGCGTGATGCGCGGCGGCCGCGGCGAACTGATGATGATTCGTGGCGGCGGCGGCGGCGCTGAAATTCGCCATGTAGGACAGCGGGAAGCTCGGGTAGGGCGCGGCGGCGGCCTGCGACGCCGCGACCTGATGATGATGGTGTCCGCCACCCGCGCCACCCACCACGTGATGCTTGCCGACGAGACCCGCAGCGGACGGCGAGCCGAAATGATGCGCCACGGCGGCGTGATGATGATGATGTCCTGCCATGCCGGCAGCGGCGGCTGCAGCGGCGGTGGGGTTCTTGACCTTGCGCCTGGGGCGGTACTTGTAGTCCGGGTGCTCCTTCATGTGATTGCTGCGCAGACGCTTGGCCTCGTCGATGAAGGGCTGCTTCTGCTCGGCGCTGAGCTGCTTCCACTCGAGGCCGAGCTTCTTCGAGATCTCGCTGTTGTGCATCTTCGGGTTGTCCACGGCGATCTTTTTGCGCTGTATGCGCGACCAGACCATGAAGGCGTTCATGGGTCGCTTGACGTGTGGCTCGGCGGCGCCACCACTCGTAGAAGAGGGTGTCGACGAAGCCGCGGCGGCTGCTGCTGCGGCGGCGGCGGCCAGGGCCGAGTTAGCGCTACTGGCAACGGGACTCGGCGATTGACTAGCTTGAGCAGCGTGAGCGGCGGCGGCAGCGGCTACAGCCGCCTGATGAAGCTGAAACTGATGGTGCTGCTGTTGAAGCTGTTGCTGTTGCTGTTGTTGCTGTTGCTGTTGTTGCTGTTGCTGCTGTTGTTGCTGCTGCTGCTGTTGCTGCTGCTGCTGCTGCTGCTGAAGCTGCAGCTGTTGTTGTTGCTGTTGATGGTAGCTGCTACTCGTCGGCGAGGGCGACGACGACTGCTGATGAAATCCCGGATGATGGTGATAGCTCGGCAGAGCGTGATGCGCGGCATTGGCCGCCGCCATCAGGTCCATGCGATGCTGCAGCTCCGCCGCGTTGCTGAAGAGATTCAGACTCGTCGAGGCGTTGGGCGTCGTTGGGCTGGTGAGTTCTTGCTGCTGCTGCTGCTGCTGCTGCTGCGACTGCTGACCGATCGGACCCATCATGATTTCTAATTTTTTTTTCTCGTGGTCACACGCACACGACACTGAGTTATTGTATTATATTGTGCGACTCTCGTTGATCGTTCTCGTTCTTCGAGTGTGTAGCACAGATAGAGAGCTTGTTTATATATTATGTAATATATTCACGCGTGTATCATGTCTCTCTTCACGAGGTAACAACAATATATGCGAACGAATCTCGTCCGTCGAAGTCGAACACGACGAGGACGAAAAACAAACAAAAAAACAACAATATCACGCACTGAACTCGACGATGCTGGGCGCTCGTAACACGCCGCTTCGGCGAATCGTTACAACGAAATTAAAATAAAAGACACACGAGTGTGGCACGCGAGTTGAACTGCCTGTGTGTGTGTATCTCGTAGTAATATACTCTTATTACGGTGTGTGCTACACGGATCGCGTGCGATCGACGACTGAATGCTTCCAGGCAGCGACGGCCAGGGATTACTGTAGTAGTACGAGTTTACACGCGCGGTGGCGGCGGCGGTACTGGTATTGGTCGTACGGGAGTGGGGGAGAGAGAGAGAGGAGACTCTGGGCTGTATAACTGCTGTATGTGTGCACTGTGTATATGTAAGAGAGAAAAAGGCGGAGTCGTGGAGGCCCGCCCGCGACGACTTCGACGCACTCCTCTCTCTCTCTGTCACTTAATAATACGGCATCGAACGCCGCCGAAGTCTCTGTGTGGCGCTGCGCAACAGCAGCAAGCACAGAGACGTCGTCCATTCACGGCGAGACGTTGCAATGTGTACCGTGATATAAAGAGGGTAGGAGAAATTCGATAATATCGATTGTGTGCGTGTGCGTGTGTAGGTAGTATATACTGCGAATGCAAATGTCGTCCCTCTCTGTACTCTGTATGCGCGTTCAATAATACAACGTTTATAGAGCCATGTATGTAAGGATACAGGCACACACACGAGTGAATGCATATATGCGTTTAAGGCTATTAACGTTCTCCAATCGAACACCGAAGAAAAAAAAAAGAAAAGATCATCGAAACGATGTACTTTGCGTATAACATTTCGTTTATACTTGATTATAAGCGAGCGAGCAAGACGTATTATAAGAATGAGCATGAGAAGAAATTGCCGTGAGCAGGTGTGAGAGCAGCACGTGCTGGATGAAAAATGACGATCAGAAACTGAAACCGGAAACGTCGATTAGTACATTCTCTTTTTTTTAATATAATAAATACAAAAGGTTATGTTCGGAAGAAAAACGTGCGGTAAATTCGTTAGCACCTCGAGCTAATGACTTACCCCGATGGAACGACAATGAGAATCAATCATTACCCTGCGTAAGCGTGTTTTAAATTTTTTCTTTCGTGAAACAATGGACATCGATGAAGTGAATGGAAGGCCCGAATGGAAGCTTCGAGATTTTCGAACTGGTGTGAAAAACTCGTCGATTCGACGAATTCAATAATAAACGACGCATAAGTACGTGTTTATTGTATAAATAGGATGCGGCGTAATTATTAATAATCGACCTTGATTAATTTAAGCGGACTTTACACCTTCTTGATTTTAATTGAATGCAATTGAAAAGACACGTCTCGATGATACGCTTTAAAAATATACACTTAATTGGCCTTTTGCCGGTATTGGAAGACAATTTTTCTAGTTTTTTGGCGACCCCGTGTTGTCGTGCTGCAATTGTTTTCTCGAAACAACGTTTGAACGATGCTACTGCACACGATTGACATAATAGGGTGAATGCGCCAGTTTTCGGACAGTTAAAAAAAAATCGTTCTATGCTCATTTACAGAGCTTGCGTATCTAAAATGTTTCTAAAAAGATACCTTTTGATAGAAAAAAAGTAACCTTTCGAATAAGTACGTACACTTGACCAAAAAAGCTGATGATACTTCTAAAAAAATGGATGAAGCCAAAAAATGCGAATCGTCCGGTTTTCGACCACCTCACTGAGCCGCCAATGACCCTGAAGTTGGAACTCGGTTAAATTTTTATTTTCGAGCTCTGAAAGCATCATAAATGGACATACGTGTCTAAAAGTACATGAGAAACCTACTGATGAGCTTCAAATTGAATAAAAAACGTTTGAATAAAAATTATTTAGAATTATTACAGGTGGTCGAAAACTGGATGGGCAATTTTATCGAATCGTCCAATTATCGACCAAGTCAGAATTAAAAATTGAGCTACGAAACAGATTTAATAATTTCCTAGGGTAGGTAGCTATAAATTTTCTCTGAAAGTATAATATTTAGAGAATTAAAAAAATATTTTATTACGTCAAAATTTGATATATATATATTTCTGTTGGTTTAAATAATATCCTTGGGTGGCCGAAATCTGGAGGGTGGTCGGTAACAGGCATATCTACCTTATTGTTGAAGTTATTCATTTCGATCCTTTTTTTTTTTTATTTCAGTTGATTTTCCGCATTAACACGTGTAGATGTATCGTCTTGAAAAAAACCGGTAGCTAAAAAAGTTGTTAGAGTATACGTGTAAAAAGTTTCATCAAAACACGTTGTTCCATTCTATCAAAAAAAATAACTCTGAAGAATCATCTTATTTTTCAATTTCAAAGTGCCCTTTAATGCATGAATCATCAAAAATGAATCTACGATGATAAACGTGCCCGAGTGTATGGAACAAGAGTTGGGACACGGGGTTTTTCCCATCGATATGTAAATTATGCTTTATATCTGAATCAAATGTCACGATTGATGGAATGCACATGTTTTCTCGAAAAAGGACTCGGAATACTTTAACAGCGCAGTGAGGTGTGACTAATTCTCGGAAAATGAAATAGGCTCCACCATGTGGGGTTTTATTTATGAAAATGAAAAAATAGCCGCGGAAAAATAAAAAAATCTTTTGTCCGGCTGCAGTTACGAATGTTGTAACAACAGTTGATTCTTAATTGCCTTGATCGGTTACTTATCGCGAGAGGTCATGACTTAAATCAGTGCCGGTACGGTAGAAATTTTACCGACATTATCGTTGCTCGATTCGTACATAAATAGCCCTAACTTTACGAAAGAATTTATTATTCGAATTATAAATGAACGTGAAAAACGAAAAAGGTATGATCCTATAATTGCTTGCTGAGAAATTCATTTTAGAAAGTGAAATAGATCGTTTGTGGGAAAATGATAATTTTTTAATCCAGAGGATCCATCCATGTAATTTTAAAGAGTGGCCCAATATTATATAATCAATTCTTTACTCGATTACCGCATTATATACACTTGACCGGTCATGAATTAATGATATTTTATTGGAATTACAATGACTCGATTAAAAAGGGTCGGTAAAGTGACCTTCACTTCGTTACAGTAGCCTTTAAATGTCTTAAGCACGTGCTGATTTATTCCTGAGTGCATCCGTCAAAAATAATGAATTTTAATTATGGTTACAGAATGGTCAATGATCTCTTCCAATTATCCCCTTTCTTTTCTATATGTGTTGCGTAATAGCAGCATCATTTCACTACGATCGATCATCATTAAATGTCATCGAAAAAATGATTGATGACGTTCGCAGGTTATTTGGGTGTTTCAATGAAGGCGAGAACAATGATTTATAGTAAACAAATGCAACGTGTAATTTCATTTCAGTGTCAAAAAATTCGATCGAATATACACGTTCACATACATATAAACCCCGTTCGTCCCAAAAAAAAAAAATTCCATATACCCCCAGCGCAATAACTAATACTATACATTTAGAGAGAGAGAGGAATGATTACCACTGGTATAACAACATAGAAGTAACAAAAAAATATGTATACAACATGACAAAAAAAAATAAATATAAAAGAGTTTGCCCTATCGGATACAAAACACATTTACAATTTCGGCTTGTTGGCGTCGATCAGACTCTTCAGTTTCTGGGTGAGCATGATGTTGCCCTTGATCTTCAGCTTTCCCTTCATGAAAGCCAGCTGGGGATTGATCTTGCCGAGGGCCATCAGCACCATGTCTTTGTCGTCGATGGTCAGGGTCGTGTCGATCTTACCCTCGGGTTTGCCTCGGCACACGACTCCTTTCTTCAAGTCCAAGGCTGTATGAAAATACACAGAAAGCGATATTCGTTCAATGTCGCAACAACGACGTCGAAACAGTCGTGTATGTGAATGCATATGTGTGTGTGTACTCACTCCACTCGGATACCGGTTTGCCGTTCTGCGTGATGATGTAATGAAACACTCCGTTGATCTTCTTCACTTGCTCCGGGTGGCTCTTGCAGTAGTCGGCCATCTGGCCGAAGACGCCGTCGCTCTCGCAGTTCTGGGTCGAGCACAGGTTGCGGCTCATGCTGGCCGGACTCTTGGCTTCGTGCAGATCCATGTAGGCGCCCGTAATGACGTTCGAATTGTTCTCCAGCACGGTCGTTTGAAAGTGAATCCTGTTGCCGTTGCGCCACATATCGGTTCGCAGTGTCTCTCCCGGCTTCACGGGCGCAGCGAATCGTACCTATATACACACATTATACACGAGATGAATTAATTATTGTAATGCACAAGAAACGAAGTCGAACGTAAAACGATCGATGAATAATTCAACGATCGACGAGTAGTGCGCTACACGAGCAGACCGTCTTTTGTTCTTTCTCATGTATAAAATAAATTAATGATACCTCGTCTTACCCGAAAAGGTTTTTGGAACGAAGAGTCGTACCGTCGAGCGACACCACCACGACACACACTGCGTGCTCGCGAGTACAGCCGACCGATGTATATCGATGTGTGTTACAACGCGTGCAAAATTCTATTAGTCGAGCTATTATCCAGGTTATGAGGAATCGCTTATTCACGCCTATGTGTACATTGGCAGATTCTAGAGTCTTTCTCCTCCTCCGCGCGTGCAAAACTATGTTGTACACACACAGACGCGCGAGCACGCGATCTTATTGCGCGCGCGCAGATAATTCGCAGCGAGAATAATAATAAAATGTCAGCGCGGCGAATTGCAATGTTGCGCTCGTGCGAGGAGGGCAACAAAAAAATATCTGCATATATAAAATCTCAAACGACGGGGTCACAGGCGAATGTCACGCTTATATAATCGCGACGTTTGTGCATTTTGCGACTGATTGATCGGCACTTATCAGCGCCACAAGTTTGATTATTAAATTCGATTTCTCAAGTCCCCCTTAATGTTTTATTTTTTTGTTTGTTTCGATGCATTTTATTTATCTTGCGATTAATGTTGATAGGACAATGATCAATTTTGATAATGAACAAAACAATGCAAATAGATAATTCAAAAGCGTAGGGATGGTACTAACGATACTGATTTTAAAATGAAGAGATAAAAATCTATTGAATGATAAGTAATGTACAATAACAAATTAAGCTTCTATGATAGTTAGCTTTGGAAGAATGTTTTTCATAAGATAATGTTGAGATCAAAGTCTTACCTTTAATGCTTTTAACGCATTTGGATTTCCATCTGCGAAAGTTTGCAAAACATGTCTAGCTGAAAATCCTAGCGAGCATAGACCGTGTAAAATTGGTTCTTTGTAGCCGGACATAATAGCCATATTATCGTCCATGTGCAGTGGATTGTAATCACCGCTTAGTCTATATAAGGCAGCCTAAATCAAAATTATTTGGAAATAAATTATCAATGCTTGATCATTTCAAGGAAGAAATTTTTAATAACTTACCTGATCAGAATTTGTTTTCTGTGTAACAGAGGCACATGGTTTCTTTTTTGGTGCATCTATGCAAGGTATAACATGAGGCGAGTTTCTTGGACCTCCAAAGCCTCCAGCTCCTACTGCAAATGCTGACATTTGGTTCGTTGCAAGCTTTTCTCCAGTTTCTACATCAAAAGTTTCATCTAAGGAAGAATTATAGTTAAAAATTGCTCATTACTAATAGAATTGGAATGAATATAATAATATCTACATTTCACAAGTATCACAGCTCCTTTTCCTTTGTCCATAACATCTTGTATTGTGAATCTACTTTCCACTTTAGCTTCTGTAGGCATAGGCTTATGAATTTCTAAATACTGCTCTCCATGCAAAATCTTTAGAAGAAATTATGCATTTGTTAATTATATTCTAAAATAAAAGAAGATTAGAACTTGAAAACTTACTCGTGTAGGATCTAATTGTAAATCAGGAAGTCCATCTTGGAGAAGAGAAGAAGTCATACAACCAATTGGTCCAAAAGTTACATAAAATGTTGGCACCAGTGAGAAATTCTCATGATTTTCATATAAATATTGCATATCACTAGGTTCTCGCCTAGTGGCACCCACTAAAAGTATAATTCAAATAAAAATTCTATTTGCAGAGCTGTAAATAAATCACCAGAAAGATGCTCACCACCCAAAGCATAAAGAATAGAATCACGAATAGTGTAATTCGTGTGCAGAACAAGCTCCTAAAATGTAAATAAAATAGATTAATAGTTTTGTCTCTGTTTAGGTGTGTAATTTAGATTCCTGTTTTAGATTAAAAACTTACTTTGTTTGACACAGATGAGCTGGCTGATTTTAAATTTTCAAGTGTAGTCATAATTTCACCAGTAACTTCCTTTAAAATATAATTTTACAATATTATTTGAAAAAATTGCATATATATAATAGCATATAGACCTACTTGAATTGAATCGTAAGCCTTTGCACCAGACATGCTTGTAATAGCATCCCAATTGTTTCTGACATCTTCAGGTGTTACCATATCATTTAAATTTTTTCTAAGCATCATTCCGTTTGATCTATAAAGGCGACCTATAAATGCCAATGATTGAATTAGCATTTTAAAAATGATGAAAAAGCCATTTTTACTTACATTTTCCAGTCCATCCAATAGCAGACTCTATGATTGAACCATTTTCAGAACAATCTTCATGACACAACCACATTACAGTGGGAGCAATAAATTCAGGTTTTAATTGTTCAAAAAAGTCTATATACAGAAAATTTTTAGTATTAGGAGTCTTATAATTTGGTATAACAATATCAAAAATTGCATTTCTACCTGGAGGCACAATGTCTTCTGTTAATCTTGAACCAGCAGTTGGGACTATTACATTTGTCAAAACATTACTTTTCACTCCTTCAAGAGCCAAAGTACTTGCTAATCCAACAAGACCCATTTTAGCTGCACTGTAATTGGGTTGGCCAAAATTACCATAAAGACCACTGTTGCTAGATGTCATGATGATTCTGCCGTATCCTTGTTTTTTCAAATGTGGCCAAGCAGCTCTTGTCACGCGCATTGCTCCTTTCAAGTGAACGTCATGAATTAAATCTGTAAACCAGTGGATTTGCAATTAATAACAAAGTTTCATAATTTTCATCTATGTCAAAGGTTTTCATTGATTTATACCCCAATCTGTTTCTGTCATTTTCTGGAAAGATTTGTCCCTCAAGATACCGGCATTATTTATCACAATGTCAATACGTCCAAAGGCATCCAGAGCAGTTTGAATGATTTTGTCACCATCCAAAACATTGTCATAATTGGCTACGGCTTTGCCACCTATACTTCAAAAAAGTGCATCAGCATCTATACGTGAAATACACACAGAGTCCTGTCAAAGATATAATTTATTACCTGCTCTGCGTATTTCATCGACAACGGTATCTGCGACTTTGGTACTGCTACCATCGCCGTGTCTGCCACCGCCTAAGTCATTGACAACGACGCTCGCTCCTCGCGATCCGAATAAAAGTGCATAAGCTCTTCCGAGTCCTGTGAAAACATAAACAAAAAAATGCAATTGGTCCTTAATAGAAAGTGCGTTAACCGTCGATAAATACCTGCCCCAGCTCCGGTAACAACAACGACCCGGCCATCGAATCTCAATTCATCAGCCATTCTGAACAACAATAACAACAACAACAACAATAACAAGTCTTCTTTATAACAGCAGTGAGAAAAAATTCGGAAACACTGGGTGAAAAGTTACTCGGAAAAAATCTCGAACTGTTTCGCCGTCCGCTCGACGTGCGAGAGTCGATTGTCAAAAGACGGAGAGATAGAAAGAGAGCGAGTGAGTGATATTGCAGAAATACGACGACGTCGAAATCGCTGCTATGCAGACTTGTTGATCCGAGCGCTCTCGCGTTTGCGATTCAGTGCGGCAGGCGCACAGAACTGACGTTTTATTTTATCGATGTATTATATGGGCTATCGTCTCAACTGATATACGTTCGTTAAACGTACGAGGTTTTTTGCTCGACAAATGTAGTTTCAATGTATCGTGTGTGTGTGTGAATATTTATACGTGTGTTGCGAATCACGATTGCAAAAAAACCTGTTGGCATTCGCCGATGTAGTACACTGACGTACGTCAAGTCAACAACAAACTGCAACTGCGCCACCACGCGCGAATTTCGTATGTATACAATGCGTTGAAATGTCACAATACTTATCCGCGGATGGTAAATCTTGTAAGTATTCAATTTTTCAATATTATCACATGTGCTACATCACGTAGTTAAAAAAAAAGTGAATTGAAAAAAAGTAAAGTACATTAAAAAATGAAAAATCTGAAAATGTTCATCATTAAATTTTACATCAAAAATTATATTTCAGCCATTTTTTCATATTCCCTTTTGGGAAGTAGATTAAAATTTGAAAAATGAAATTCCAAATTTGAACTCGTGTAGATTCACGAGGACTGGATCTAGAGGGATGAAATTTTTCAGGATTTTCATTTTTCAATGTGCTCTTCAAGAGTACATACTTCTATTCCAGTTGATCTTCAGCAGTAACACGTGTAGATTATTGACTTGAAATTTCGATATTGTACACAGCACAACGACTTCCGGTAACGAAAGTTTCATTAAAACACGTTGTTCTATTCTATCAAAAAAGTAACTGTTTAGAAGAATCATCTTTTTTCCAATTTGAAAATGCCCTTAAATGCATGATGAATCGGCGATGATAAACGTGCCTGAGTGTAAAGAAAAAAAGTCGAAAAATGTGTTTCTTCATCAATATGTAAATGATGAGCTTACAATATGCTTTATATCCGAATCAAATGTGATGATTGATGGGATTTACTTGAATAGAGTGGTGATATGTAAATGATTCTCGGAAAATAAAGTAGGCGCCCCCCACGTGGGGCTTTATTTATGAAAATGAAAAAATAGGCGCGGAAAAATAATATTAAAATTTATTTATTTATCTATTCAGTGTGAAACATATACATAAATTGAATAATAACATTGTATATTGAAGAAAATCGCTAATACGCTTAGTCGTCGCTACATCCTGCAGGCATTAGTACACTTACAATCACTTAAATGTCATCCACGTCTCTCGGAGTCTCTATTGCAATACTTCGGTGTTCAATATTTCGATCGGTCGTGCACAGAGCTTCGCCGTTCTCGACTGTAAAGAATGATCTGCCCAGAGGCCTAATTTTTATGCTCGTTATATACTAATTTAATCATGCATCTTTTCGGCGGGGGCAACTCTTGGTGGTTTTTCCCTCAATACCTAAACTACTTGTTTTTTTGTTGCTAGTTGATCCGTGTCGCCGGGTCGAGCATGCATCGTTCTATTTATCCATATTTGGGCAAATTTTTTCGGAGCTTCGGTCACGCTGTGATTCTAAAGTGACCGTCAGGTCAAACCCTCGGTGATAAGGGAACCTGCGAGTGCGCGTACGACTATGTTTCTTTCTTTGTATCATTTTGAAGTAGGCCACGGGTTTCACCCCCTGTGCGTGTGTCGCACCTTCTCTGTATTCGGCTCGCACACACGCGAGTGCATATCCGCGAAATACATACGTGTGCAGGCCTGATCTAACGGGCCGGTGTGCGTTGGCCGCTTACACTCACACATACATTCACGCGACCATTGGGCCTGTGTGCGCTGTCGTATGCCTATACCAGCCTCGCGTAGCTTAGTGTATATCTTGACATTGGTATGTAACAATATAATGTTCAGAATTTAAAAAAAGACATAGAATATGCAAAATAAAATACTCATACTCTAGAATGAAAGAAAAATTAGATATATGTGAATTATACAAGTTACATTAAAATATTATTGCTAACAAAGCGCATTTCAGGGTCATTTATTATAATAGAAATGAAATTATTTTCATTTTTTTTGTAGAATCATTTAAAAGCTACAAACAAAAATGCTATGAAATCCATCAGATTTGTTCAATTTAATAGAAAAAAACTGTAAAAGACATAATTAATTAACAAATGCACACAAACGAAAAAAGATGCCTTCGCTCTATAATTAACAGAGGTTGATAAATCATCGCAAGATGTTTTCAGCTCTGGTTTTAAACCAAAAATATGAATCCTAAGAAAATATTTACCAAGATTTTTACGCTACAAATGTGGAAATGGACAATTATTTGCAAGAAAAATTCAGTTCACCTTTTTTTAAATATTTTTTTATTTTTATTTTTATGTTTTTTACGTATAAAATGTACAAACGAATTTGATTTCGATATACATGGCGATGAAGACACAATTTGAGATATTTTAGTTGTGAGCTATCGATAGAAAAATCAATGCTCATTTTTGAATTTATTTATTTGAATGATGTCGAAAATCTTCAAAAACAAATAACATTAGACATTAAGACATACTTTTTGCTAAGCAAATCATTACTTTTCTGCTTCTTCTTCATACATAATCTTTACCATCGAATTTGCAGCCATTCTGGAGCTTTTTTAGCCCTCTTAGATCTTCGATTGCTACATTTTATTACATGTGTTTTTCGTTTTTTATTTTCATTGTAACTAGGTTCTGCAACAGCGACACAAATATTCATCAAATCTTTATTCGCTAGTCGGTTGATGATCAGTTCACACATCTCAACTGGTAGCCGATAGTGTATCAGTTGGCAAAATGAATCCAGTGCCCAGCTAAGGAAAAACCTTCTGGACAATATCTCACACAGATACAAAGAGCAATTAGCTTCTTCAAATTCGTAGAGCATCGCGGTAGATAATCGCGCGACCGTGAAGTAGTTACTATAAGTTAGTATTAGTTTTGCTGCCTCTTTAGGTGGTGACTGGAGCAAGTCGTACAGCGATTTCTTCTCACAATCTTTAATCAGAAATAGTTTTATATTTTTCGCTCTTCTCACGAAATCTTGATCGGTACACAAATATTTTTCGAGTTTCTTCAGGTTCCCAAACAATCTGTGTTTATCGAAAAATTCCATGACCGTTAAAGCGTCGCTTTGGGTCAGCTCGTACCCTCTTCTCTCAAGGATCTCGACGACGTGTACGACACCACATGCGAGTTTCATTTTACAATTATAATAATCTGGATTAAATATCTCGCCCAACTCAGTAGGGAAAGCGAAGCTAGACAAATCAGCACCGTGATCCAAAAGTATATCAACCATAGTTGGCAAAAGATTTGATACAGCTAATTGCAGCGGGGTCCGGCCTTTACTGTCCTGGGCATCGACTTGCACCGTCTGCTGGATGTTTTCGCAGATATCGAACAATAAATGCACCAATTCACCATCTTCAAAATAATCGTCCCTCTGACAAAGAATGTGCAGCGGAGTAGATCCATCGCTGTTGGACAAATTAGGATTAGCACCATTTGCCAGAAGCAATTCGATCGCTCTCTTGTTGCGATAGGCTAGAGCCATGTGCAGAGGAGGATCGATTTCTTTTTGAAGAAAGAAATTGGGATCTTGTCCGTGTTCGAGAAACTTCTTTACAGCTATTCCAGATAAGTCCCACATACAAGCCACGTGAAAATGTGTCAAACCAAATTCATCGGTGTAGTTCAAGTCAAACCTGGTATAAATTTTAAAAAGGTCCTTAACAAACAAATTGCGCTTGTGTCTCACTGCATGATGCAGTGGTGTGGTGCGACGCAACGATAACTTGCCGTCTTTATAAACTTTGATCTCATCCTTGTAACCGGTCCTGGCCACAAATGCGGTGAATTCTTGTGAGTCCAATGTGTAACTATAGGCATTGGGCTTCTGAGACTCTATTAGTAGCCATTCAATTTCTTCGGCTTGAAAAATATCTCTGAGATCTGGAAGTTCACTATGCCAACCTTCGATTATGATACAAGCCTCGTGGAAAAAATCCCGTCGCTCGTCTTCGATTTGCCAATCGTACATTTTTGATCGTAAATACTCCAATTGCGAGCGTTTATAAAAGTAAATCTGCCCTGAATGTAACATTGTTTCACGCACTAGCATTCACACACAGACACTTGTAATATGAAATATTTTTTACGTTTAATTGCGAGAGGGTGCTATCTTTCGAGCTCTTTAATCGGCAGACTCCGAATGTGTACTGTCGATGAACTTCACTATACGATCTATTTATAGGAGAGAGCACGTGAGAAAGTAATTCGAACGTAGCATTCTTGAAGAAGTAGTGGTGGTAGAGGAGTTATCCCCACGCCTATCTTTTGACTATCTATATTAGACTTATGAATTGACCAGACTCATCAGCCGCCTAGCGAATGAAGATTTGATGAATGTTTGTGCGGCTGTTGCAAAGACGTTTCATACTCGATGTAAATTCCGTATACATGTATTGTCATATCTGTTTGTACTTACAGAGAAAAATGTACGATTGCTCGCGAGCGTATCATGATGTAATTGTAAAAGCATAATTTTATTTACTTTCGAGTGCAAGTCTAGCTGAAATACGTATCGATCGATGAATGAAAATGTCGTATCTGCTGAATGAGTGTTCTTAGTATTAATGAGCAATTTTTATATTAACTATATCATTTTATAAATATATCATAATTATTCACTCGTTAAATAAATCAACACGAAAATTGAATGTCTTCATCTTTTTCTTATAGCTGATGCTGTCAAGTTTACTAAAAAATGAAATATTTTTTATATATCAGTCTTTCATTCTCTTTTATTGAGCTCCAAATTCCTTGAAATACAATACAATGATATACACATACACTAATGTAAGTTAAAGTTAATCAAATATGTTAATATACAGTAGTAAATCTTTGTGAAAAATCAGCCAGCTGCATGATTGATAAAAAAAATTGTCAGACAAGTTACATTTTATGTACTTTTGAGAGTTGATATTTTAAATGTGCTTAAATATTTCCATCTCAATTATCTATTATGATTGTCAATTCTTATAAAGTATTACAGATTTTCAATGCTTCTCTCTTGGTCAGACTTTTTTTTTGACAATATTTGTTCTTTGTTTTTTTTATCGACTTAACGTTTGAATTTTTTCAGATTATACGCTTGACAATGTCTTATATCACTGCTTTAATGTCAATCGTCACGTAAAAGTAAACGACTGAGTGGATCAAAATTAAATTTTC